TTTCCTGACATGTTCAGTGGTGTCCAGTTTGGATAGATGTGGATCAAACAACAGTCCCTCAAGAACACACATGGACATACCAGTATAAACACTGGAGTCCCATTATCAGCTTTACACACATTGTTTTCAAGTTTGAAATATGAGAGCAATACAAGTGTTTCTATTGGCACACAGTGTGTTTTAGTTCCCACCTCCTTATGTTAATATGTTTATGATCTTATTGTTGTATTCTAATAATATTCTGCTCTTGTTGTTATTTTAAACTTTAAAAAGAAAAATGTGCAGAAGTGGTGGAACAACGGTCTGCTCTCAAACCACAGAACAAACAACAGAAACAGTTCTCGTCACAGACTCGACTGTGAGACTCGTTTATTGCAGATGTAACAGCTGGTCATGTGACCTAACGTGCAGCTGCAGCTCCAGCAGCAGCCAGCAGGTGTCAGCGACGCACCCTGAGCCTGAGCAGGTGATCACCTGTCTGGCTGGAGCTCAGCGGGGCATCGTCCTCCCTCCATCATCACCTGGTGCACAGGTGCAGCGTGGGCCTCCGGTCAGGTGACGTCACCTTCATTGCTCTCCTCCCTCCTCCCCCTCCTCTATACAAACAACAACAACAAACAACAACAGTCAGCTGTTCTGGTATCTCTGTGAGGACCAGTTGCTGTGTGTGTGTGTGTGTGTGTGTGTGCGTGTTACCTGCAGGTTCAGGTAGTGTGTGTGTGTGTGTGTGCGTGTTACCTGCAGGTTCAGGTAGTGTGTGTGTGTCCGGCAGTGTGTGTGTCGCGCTGCAGTCTCTGTGTAGAAGAACTTGTTGCAGAGTCGACACACGAAGCCACAAACTGGAACCACAAAGCTACTTCCTGCAGACACACACAGAGGGGATTCACTGACGAGTTTCCAATAATCAGGACGTTGATGGCTGATCGTTAATCGATTCATTGCTGTTAATGGCTGATTGGAATAATCTGAGCCGACACGGCAGAAGCAGGAGTAGGTGGTGCATGTCAGTGACAGCTGTAGTTCCTGGAGGGTCCAGCAGGGGGAGCCTCCTGCTGCTGATCGTTTACCGAACTGTCCAGGACATTTAAACCAATCTTAGGTCGCTGTTTTTAGGCGTAGACCGTTACCGTAGCAACCACAGGGACGTACCATACATGGCGTGGGGGTCGTATTCTGATCCGGCTGGGTCCTCGGAGGTCGCCGTCTGCAACACATCATACATCAGAAACCGATCCAGAACCACCAGGTCAGCATCAGCCCCTCAAATGGATTTACCTCCAACCCTCGCTCTGACTCTTCAGCAACGTCCACCTCCCCCTCCTCCTCCTCCTCCTCCTCCTCCCCCTGCTTTTCTTCCAAAAAGCGGCGCCTTCGGAGGCGTCCACTTGTTGGGTCTCTTTCTTCCCCCT